CGCTCTTCACTTGCGTAGTTCGCTGTACTGTATTTACTCTCCTTGGGAATCTCCTGATTAATCACTGTTCAGAGGACTTTGTTCTCAAACTCTAGCTTCCCTAGGAGAGCAGCATCAGTGTATCTGTAGTTTCATTAAGCTGTAGTAAGAATGAAAACAACGGTCTTTTCTGTAGTTTCATACTTAGAATCTCATTTTGTTTCTCATTTATGAAATTAGTAAAAGGTAGATTTTCAAAACCCAGTGCATAGTTTTCAACTCTACCTAATCCTTCTGCTCTGAGAAGTATATCATGAAGTAAAACGAAAACACAAAAACAGAATAATCAGAATAAAAGTATTAAAAAGAGAGATTCTCATGGTATTTGCATACACATAAAGATAGCCACAAGAAAAGAAAGAAATGGAACAGAAACTCATTAATGTAAGTAGGAAATCGACAGTGCTGTTGCTGTCAGCCTCTTATATGAAATTCTCCCACGTTCATGAACTATGTAAGACAAAACTGGCTTTTATCCTCTTTCAATATTGCTACCTAAGCAATCAATTATATTAAGACTGAAATAATATCTCTTTAAAAAATTATCTGGAAGAAGCTTTATAATTTAAAGATGCTTCAAAAGATAGAACCTGGGGCCAGAAGACGACATAGCGGCTAAGGCATTGGACTCTCATGTGGCTGGCTGCAGGTTGAGTCCTGGACCCAGAAGCTTTAAAATGACACTGGGCATGTGTGCGTGCGTGCCCAAAACCCAAGAGGAGAATGGAAGAGAAGGGACTGATTGCAGCTTGGCTGCATACGCTCCCTCCCCCCCCTCACCGGGGGATGATTTCTCACTTTCCCTCCCGCTGTCTCTCTCTCTCTTTGGCAAGTGCACACATCCTATGGCAAAAATCTAAAAGCAAAAAATAAAATAAAAGATGGAACCTTCCACAGAGCTGGTATGTTACAGACTGATTTATAAAGACTATGTAGCACAATACACACCCAGAGGTCAATTCCTTGACGTCTGTTTTTCTATTAAATTATATTTCAAATACTGCTTTTAGGTGTAACATTAAAAAATTACATGAGCATCAGTGATGACTGAGGTACAAAGCACGTTGCTCCTACCTGAGAACTCCGTCTACTTGGTCTTTGGTGTAGCCTTTTCCACTCTCCCCACTACCAGACGTGCTGTCCTTTGTGCAATTAGACTTGCTTTGATCACCACTCCCTGACGGTTTTCGGCAATGAGGGCTATTTCCAGCTGTGCTTCCATTTTTCATAATTATTTCCAACAGTGCTGTAGAAAGATAAAGTATATTGTGCCTATTTACATCAAGGTACATACACAAGATCTTGACAAGGAAGTGACAAGGCAGACAAGTTACAACCTGTGTTCTCCAAAGAGCCACCGTGGGTGGGGTCTTTTTAGATAGCAAGCAGCCCTTACATACTTAACTGTTTACAGAACACTGATTACCATTTAGAAATAGAACGTTAAGAGATTTAACATTGGTGAAAGAGACAGAGCAGAGGGAGATGGAAAAAGAGAAGAAAAGTGAAAAATCACCCTCTGGGGGGATGGTCACACCCACAAGTCCTTCTTCTCTATTCTCCTCATGAGATTTTAGGCACCACACACATGCAAACGGGGTGGGTTTTAAGCTTCCCAGTCTCGGACTCAAACTGAACATTTGGTCATGTGGAATCCAGCTGCCTTAACCTAAACACAATCTGCTGGTCCCCTAAGTAAACAAACTTTAAAAAAAGAAATTTAATGTGAATAACATGAAATTACTATATTCAAATGTTTATGAACCACTTCTGTCATATTATAGTCAAACTGCAGAGTACCAGAGAAAAAGAGAGAGTTTTCAAAGAAGCCAATGAGATCGCCCATAAAGAAACAGAAATTAGATTTCCTGTTTATTTCTCAACAACAACAATGGGAGTCAAAAGACAGTGGAGTATTCAAAATGCTCATAAAATTATGAGAGGACTTCAAAGAGTATGCAGAAAAATGGAATTAAAATAGGAGCTAATTTGGTGCAAAAATGTTGAAATTCGTGGTTTTTTAACAAGATATATTTTTCATAAACCTTTAGAAGACCCCTTGTATAACTGTCTACTTGAATTCTGCAATAATTTTCCAGAAACTGCGTAAGATAAAAACATGTTCAAAGAAATGAAAACTGAGAAAATCTGCCACTAAAGGGCTTGCATTAGGCCAGCAGCAGTGGCCCAGCAGTAACACGACACTGCAATGCTGGGGTCCATGGGTTGGTCCTGGGTTTGCACCTGAGGTCTCCCTGTACACTCTGGTGTGCATGTGCCCATAATCCTTGTGGCATGAAGACCCTACTGAGGCTCCTGTCTCTGTCTCTCTCTAAAGAAACAACTTTTAAAAAGGGAGAAAAATATATGTAAAACTTAAAAAGTTTTAAGACTCATGAGAGGATTCGGTAATATATACATTTCAAGCATAAGAAAACGTATTTAGAGAGGCTACCATGCAAAAAATAAATGGACGAACACTGTGGTGGATGTATGAGTAAATCTACACACTGAGTGTATAAACGGTAACAGTTATGTCCTGGATTTGCTTTAAAACAGGCTGGGGAGGAAGGTATAAAGTGGAGGTAGAGAGAATGTACGAAATAAGATTGGCCTTATATATTCATAATGGTTAAAGACAGGTGGGTGGTAGGAATTAATTATATTATTTTCTTTTCTTTTGTGTATGCTTCAAACTTTTCATAATGAATTAAAATGAGACACAAAAAAATGAACAGAACTAAGAGGAAGAAACAAATATACCATCTTGGTAGAACCTTTTAACACATTTCAATCAGGAAATGACACAGGTAGATTTTTTTAAAAAAATCATTAAGGATACAGGTGACATAAACATCCGATTTAGTGAGCTTCATCTAAGATATGTAACATTACACTAGCTGGTACCTGTTCACTTTTTACAAGAAATGAAAACTGCGCACTAGGCCATAAAGTTATCCTATTTGAATCTCGAAGAATTAGTGTATGTACCCTATCTACAAACAGAATATATTTAAGTGAGAAATCATTTTAAAAAGTAGAAAAATAGCAAATGGATTGAAAAGGAAACAAAAACAAATCTAGATAACTCATGTATCAATGAAATAATTATAATAAAAATGAAAAAATACTTACAGTTGAATTAAATTGTAACTACTATGTATTTCTTATGGGTTGACGAGATATTCATGTGCAAAGGAATGAATCTGACCCATCTGTCACACCGTACACAAACACTGACTCAAAATGGATCATACACCTAACTGTAAGAGCTAAAAACTATAAAGCTCTTAGAAGAAATTACAGAAGTAAATCTTCAGAACCCTGATTTACACAAAAAATCCCTACATATAATGACAAAAGTACAAGTGACCAAAAAAAGATAGAAATGTGAGCTCTCTCAAAACTGAAAGTTGTACTTTAAAAGCTATCATCACCAGAGTGGAAAGACAATCACAAGATGAAGAAGCCACATAACTGTTCAAAGAAATGCATCCAGAATATATAAACAATTCTTACCATTCAATAATTAAAAAAAAGACCAAAATCCAATTTAAAAAAATCTTTAAAGGAGGGCCAGCAGGTGGTTAAGGCTCTGGACTCCCACATGGTCAACCGCAATCTGAATTCTGGATCTGGCAGCTTGAACATCATGCTGGGTGCACGTGTATGCATGGCCAAAATCCCAGGAGGAAAACAGAAGAGAAGGGACTGTAGCATGGCCAGCCCTCCTGGGGTGTGATTTCTCACTTTCTCTTTCACTGTCTCTGTCTCTCTGGCAAGTGCACATGCCCTATGGCAAAAACCTCAAAAACAAAACAAAACAGTAAAGGATCTGAACAGACATTTCTTCTAAACAAATAAACACATGGCCAATAACTGCAATGAAAAAGTTGCTCAACATCATTAGTCATTAGGGAAATAAAAATTTTAAAAAATTCAAAACCACAATAAAATACCATATTAGGATGGCTATAAAAAGGAGAATAATACTAAGTGTTGACAAGCTGAGAACAAATTGGAACCCTGATACACTGCTGGTAGGAATGAAAACAGTGCAAGTACTTTGAAAATTATATAGTTACCATTTGACTCAGCAATTCCATTCCTAGTTATATACCCAAAATAAATGAAAATATCTACACAAAACTGGTTCAAAAGTGCTCATAATGGTTACTCATAATGATAAAAAAGTGGAAACAACTGAATGTCCCTTAACTGATGAACAGATAAATAAAATGCAATAGATTCGACAATGGACTATTACTTGAAAATAGAGAAATTGGGACCAGCAGATGGCGTAATGGTTACATCACTGGACTCTCACATAGTTAAGTGCAGTTCGAGTTCCAGACCCAGCAGCTTAAAACTCACGCTGGGTGTGTGTGCGTGCATGCCCAAAATCCCAAGAGGGGACTGGAGGAAAAGGGACTGCAATGTGGCCATCCCCCAGAGGATGATTTCTCACTTTCTGTCTCCAGCAACCGTTATGTGCCCTAAAGCAAAAATCTCTCTCTTAAATAAATAAATTAAAAAAAAGAAAAAGAAAAGAAAAAGAAAGAAAAAGAAATGAAGTACTGATATATGACACAACATGGATGGACTTTGAAGACCTTGCTGAGTGACAGAAGCTAGTCACAAAGGCACACGCTGTGTGATTCTATTTGCATGAAACGTACAGAATAGGCAAACCTACAGAGACAGACAGATTAGTCATTGCTGAGTGGGGAGGAGGGAGACCTGGGGACAAACAAGGAGTGACTACTAATGAGTACGGGGTTTCTTTCAGAGGTAAGAAAACATTCTAAAATTGGTTGTTGTAATGACTGCATAATTTTGAATATACTAAAAACCCACTAAACGGGATACTTTAGAAGAATCAATTGTATGGTATATAAATTACATCTCAGTAAACTATCATGTATTTTTTTAAATCTCAGTAGTGCTGTTGGTAAATCTGAAAACATATAAGTATTTGTTATTTATATTTTACTTATATATGAGAACTTTCTACCATACCTTTTTTTGCTAGTTTCTTTCTTTCATGACAAAGAAGTGAGAAAGACAGAGAGACAAACAGCCCCAATAAGGTTTCATACCATGATCCCAACAGCCCTTCAGCTTTTCAGCGAGCCTGACACACACGTACCAGGCAAGCACAGGTCAACCTGGGAACCAAACCCTGATCTTCCATGTAGTTTCCAGCACTGCAGAACAATACATCACCACTTCAACACAATGGCTGGACTTCTACCACAACTTTTCCCTGATTAGTGCATCTAAAACATCATCAAGGAAATAAAAAATCTGGCTCCAATGACAGTTGTTGATGGTATAGAAAAGTACTCAATTAGATAGCAGTGTATTCATTAATAGCAAGAGAAATATAACATTTACTGTCCATTTTTAACGTAGCATAGTCTACATTTAATGCAAAGAAAAAAGCATGTTCTAGGGAGTAGTGGTTTGCAACATCTAAACAAGAAAAAAGTTTGTAAGAATTCTGGGAAGAAGATGACAGCAGCTGAATTTTTTTTTTTTTTTTTGGAGGGGAAACGTTTTTTGCTATAGGGCGCGCGCGCTCGCCAAAAAAACAGAGAGACACAGAGAGCGAGAAAGCAAGAAATCACCCCCCAGGGGGAATGGCCACGCAGCAATCCCTTCTCCTCCATTCTCCTCTCAGGATCTTGGGCATGCATGCACACGTGCCCGGCGTGAGTTTAAGCCGCCGGGTCCGGGGCTCGAACCACAGTTGGTTACGTGGGAGTCCAGCGACATAGCCATAACACTAACTGCTGGTCCCAGCAGCTGAAATTTTTAAGCTCTCCAAATTCCCTCATAAAATCAGAGACCAATTAAATAGCAAACCAAAACTTCAAGCACAAAATCTCAAAATAAAAAAAAGGGGAGGTAAGACGACAGCAGCTTTAAGATCTGTGTGAGTATTAGCAACAACGTGGAAAGAAGCAGAGGACAGTAATGGGGCACTTGTCAGCCCATAAAACAGAAGAAACCCAGCATGATCACCAGGGGCTCTCACCCACAACAGGAGAAAGGGAGAAAAGCATGTGGAAGGGAACAGATTCTGCTGCTACAACAGCACAGGACTGCAAGGGTTCACAGCAGAGCCGGAGGGCACAGAACACTCCAGTCACTAGAAACTCAACATGAACCAATCAAACCTCTTCCAGAAGAAAGCCGCAGCAAGGAGATGCTGCTAGGAGCAAGAACCAAAATGAAGAAGACAGGATCAGTAGAAGAAAATAACAGAAAAACTCCAGATAAAAGTGGGGATGGAGGGGCCAGACACAGGCACAGTGGTGAAACAAGACAAACTCCCATGGGAAGGTTCTGGGTTCACATTTGGAGGTGTCCCTGAGGATGCTAGGCACATGAATGCCCATGATCCAGGGCTGACTTGAGATAGGGTGGCTCAGGCCAGGACCATATTGGGGATGGCATTTCTCTGTCTCTCTCTTTAGTCATGGAATAAATAAATAAATAAAAATAAAGTTTAAAAATTGCAAAAGGGGCCAGGTGGTGTAGTGGTTAGGGTGTTGGACTCCCACATGGCTGATTGCAGCATGAATCCCAGACCCCGTGGCTTGAAAATTACACCAGGATAGTGTGGATGTGTGCCCAAAATCCAGGGAGGAGAAAGGAGGAGAGGGGACTGGAGCGAGACATCCTCCTGCGGGTGATTTCTTACTTTTCCTCTCTCTGACTCTTTCTCCAGTGAGCACATGTGCCCTAAAGCAAAATCCTTTAAAAAAAAAAAAAAAGGAAAAGGAAAGAGCAAAAGAGACAAAATGAAGAAATCTCATTTTTCAAGGTGACTTAGTATTTTTCCTTAACTTGCTATAGGGCACATGAGTTTGCCAGAGACAGAAAGAGAGGTAAAGTGAAAATGCACCTCTTAGGAAGATAGCCACTCTGTAATCCCTTCTCATCCACTCTCCTCTCAGGATTTGGGGCCCCCATGCACACACATCCAGTGTGTTTTTCAAGTGCTGTAATCTAACAGCATATCTGTTCATGTGGGATTCAGCCACTTTAATCACACACCACCAGTTGGCCCACAGGGTGACATACTGTGAAACATTACACAAAAACAGGAGAAGAATCTGTGTGTTTAGAATGGTGAGTTACTTTTTTTGTTTTTCTCTAGTAAAGAAAAGTTTAACATTTTTAACCATTTTTTTTTTGTCTCACATCCACCAAATCCAATCCTTTCTCTGTACTGTCTGAAGTAGTTCACAGTAGTGTGCATCTGTTCATTTATCTGTCATCAAATGAGCACTTTGCCTAAAAGAAGGTCTGACTAGGTGAAAGATGTCTACAGTCTTTTGTGAAATTGTAGTTTTTCATTCATTTGTAAGGCATTTTTATAGATATCACTTTTATTTTTGGTACATGTGAAATTGCAACTGAAATTCATTTTATCCGTATTTTTTGAATGAACTGAATTTTTTTAAAGGCTAATTATACTAACGATACATACAAATGCATACAAAAAAAGATTGATGTCGGGAACCAGCAGTTAGCGTAATGGCTATGTCGCTGGACTCCCACGTAGTCGACCACAGTTTGCGTCCTGGACCCGGTGGCTTAAAGCTCATGCCGGGTGCATGTGCGTGCGTGCCCAAGATCCTGAGAGGAGAATGGAGGAGAAGGGATTGTGGTGTGACCATGCCCCCTGGGGGGTGATTTCTCGCTTTCTGTCTCTATGTCTCTCTCTGTCTGTCTGGTGAGCGCAGGCGCCCTATAGTGAAAACCTCTCAAAAAAAATATATAAATAAATAAAGGAATGAAAAAAAAAGATAGATGTCAAACTTGATACAAAGTTATTATAAGAAAAAAGTAAGTACAGAATAAATCTCTGGGGACTAGCAGATGATGTAACGATTATGCTGTCCACGTAGCTGACTATTGTTCCAGTCCTGGAACCAGTGGCCTAAACCTGGCATGCCAGGCTTGTGTGCATACCGTCCCTCCTGGGGGGTGATTTCTCACATTCTGTTTCTCTGTCTCTCTCTGGTAAGTGCACCACTCTACAGCAAAAATCTCTCTTAAAAAAAAAAAAAGAAGAAATCTTTGAAGACGATGAATGCAAATATCAAAGATGAACACTATAAAAGATGAACACTACAAAACCCACTATTAATATTTCAGAATAAGCTTAAAAGACTTTAAGAAATTATACATGGTTTTAAAAAATAAATTATACATGATATGGAAGAACAACATAAATCACAATTTTAATAATCCCAGAAAATACCTAGAACTTAGCTGATAAAACTCAAAATTAAAAAGTCAATTTTATAAAGTAGTAAACTAGAAGAAACAAAGAATTTATAAACACAATAGATAAATACCTTAAGACAACACAAAAAGGGGGGAAACTTTCAAAATTAAAAAAAAAAAAGAAAAGAAATTTAAGAGAAAATGGAACATACTGAAGATAGTTGAAGAAGATCCAACATATGTACAATAGGAGTCTTGAAGAGGAAAAATAAAGCAAGGAACAAATATAACAATAAATGGAAGCTTTTCTGACATAAAAACAAAGCATCTGAAACTACAATACTAGATTGTCAGAAAAGACACAGTGTATTTTTTCTATGCAAAAATGTATCATGACTTTCACAACCCAATATATAATAAATGGGCAAATCACATACCAAAGAATACTGACCAAGAATAACCAACTGAGTTGTATTCTAGTAAAACTAACAGGGTATCTAGGAAAAAAGATCAAATGACTCATAAAGGAAAGAAAATTAGATTATCATCAGACTTTGCTTATCAGTAGTACTTGAACAAAACAATGGAGCAATGGCAGTATGCTCAGATACTCTGGTAAAATGAAGTGTGAGCCTAGGACTCTGTACCCACCGAACTATTAATATTAATAACTTCAAGGAGTAAGGTCACAGATTGTTTTCAACATTCTAGAACTTAGGGAGCATAGTCTCCACAAGCCATTCCTGAGAATCTACTTGAAAACAAGCTCTAGGAATCCAAAATAAGTATAAAAAAACTGGAACAGGACTGGTGATAAGCATTAAATGTATAGCTACTTACAGAGTCAAGGCTAGATGGCAGTTGAGAGAGAACACACAGTATGCAATGACACGCTCTGACAGTATAGATACGGTTCAAGCATTTTTTTAAGATGGCTCTGTGACTTTCCCGTTAATAGAAAAAAAGGAAAAAAAGTACTAAAGTGCTTCCCTTTCCCTCCCTTCTATTTGGTGGTGGGGCCTAGCAGGGCCTTTGAGGTGAGGCATGAACCAAGGAAGTTGATTCGAACCACGGAGGTCGTCGTGTCCTAAAACAGCTGAGCTTGCTATGGCCTGCACCAACGGAGTCAAGGAAAGAAGTCACTACATACAGGTGAAAATGAGCAAATAAGTGACAGCCGTGCTTCTCATTAGAGAATAGCATTACAAACACGGGAATGGAGAAGGTGAGAATGAAGTCTGTGGCACTGCGTTAGGAATGGAGGTGTGTGGGGACCAGCAGTTAGCGTAATGGCTATGTCGCTGGACTCCCATGTAGTCGACCGCGGTTCAAATTCCGGACCCGGTGGCTTAAACTCATGCCGAGCGTGTGTGTGTGTGTGTGTGTGTGTGTGCCCAAGATCCCGAGAGGAGAATGGAGGAGAAGGGATTGCGGCGTGGCCATCCCCCCTGGGGGTGATTTCTCACTTTCTAGCTCTCTGTCACTCTCTGTCTGTCTGGCAAGCGCATGTGCCCTATAGCAAAAACCTCTCCAAAAAAAAAAGGAATGGAGGTGTGTGAATAGTATATATGTGTGTGTCTCACATAGATATCAAAATTAATATTGATCAAATTACAGATGTTTCTATGCAAACATACAGACACACAGCATACATACATGCACGCATATACATATATTTCCTAGCTTTGTCAACTGAGAGAACCGAAAGCAATGATACCTCTGCAGCAATGCACTTATCTAATGCCTATATCTAGTTTCTAATTACCACTGTCTACTAAAAGAAATCAGGGGACCAGCACTTGGTGTAATGGCTATGTCGCTGGACTCCCATGTAGTCGACTGCGGTTCGTATCCCAGACCCAGTGGCTTAAAACTCATGCCAGGCACATGTGCGTGCATGCCCAAGATCCTGAGAAGAGTATGGAGGAGAAGGGACTGTGGCGTGGCCATCCCCCCTGGGGGGTGATTTCTCGCTTTCTGTTTCTCTGTCTCTCTCGATCTGGAGAGCGCACGCACCCTATAGCAAAAACCTCTCCAAAAATGAAAAAGAAAAAATTAAAGAAAAAAAAGGAAAGAAATCAGGGCTCTTTGGAGGAACAGTGTGATTCCCAGGGGAGAGAAAGTAAAATGTGAGCCTGAATATTGTTTTGTGCCAGAAAGTATAGAAATTCAAGAAATGGATAAGGACACGTCAAAAAGACACAGAAGCCATGCTGAAGGGGCTCTCACTAAACCTGAGCACCAAAATAAATGATGGTGACACAGTCAACGGGAATCTAGGAATGCACACCAGATGCATAAGATTGAATGCCACGTAATAAATACAGAATGAACGGCAGAATTAGAAAACCATTTGACAATCATCAAAAATATAGAATGAATGACAGAATTAGAAAACCACTTGACAGTCATCGGAAATTCATTCAGGAAAGAACGACGAATGGGTGCTACAAAGAATTGGTGAAAGCCGGTTGAAAACAGGACATTTATAGTTTTAAAATATTTCCCCACAAAATATTTATTAATTACAAAGGAGTAAAAGGTAACTTTATAGGAAAGAAACTTTGCAATTACCAAATTAACTAAGTGATCAAAGTAACCTCACTAGTAAAGACCAAGTCAACACCGGTGCTTCCTGGACATTACCCTAAGAACACACCATCACTCATATGGTGTTCCTATCAAAAATTCACACAAGGGCCAACCCTGCAGCACAGTGGTTAAGCACCATGTGGAGAGAAGCAGATTTCACGTGGCCAACCGAGGTCTGAATCCAGCCTGGTGGCTTTAAAAACACGTATATACCCAAAATCCTGACAGGATTGAAAAACGGAAGAAAGGATTGTGGCATAGCCCATTGGGGGTTGCTTTTCTTCTCCCTCCCTCTTCTACCCTTTCTCACTGTGAACACACACACCCTCTGGCAATAATAAAAAAGAAATTCATATAACAAAATATCAAACCCAAATTGAGGGAAATTCTATAAAATAGCTGGCCTACACTCATCAAAAAAGGCAAATATCAAGAAGGAAAGGGAGAAAAGATAATGCTTAGAGAATAAGACATTATGCCAGACAAACACAACATGCGCCTTTTTTTTTTTTTTTTTTTTTTGCCATGAGGGAATTATCTGAGAAAACCAGCAGAACTTGACTGAGGAGCATGTATGAACGTCGCAGCTTCGATGGTGTACTCTGATTATGTAAGACAGTATCTCTGTCTTAGACAATATACACTGAATTATTCAGGGATAATAGGACATCATGTCTACAATTACACTTAATTGGTTAAAAAATACAATAAAAAGAGCAAACTTGTGCATGTGTGTGTAGAGACAGAGAGAGAGGGCACACAGAGGGAGAGGAGAAGGGCATAATAAAGCAAATGTAGTAAAATGTTAAATAGAAAGCCTAAGTAAAATGTATATGGGAGTTTGTATTCTTTTTATTAAGTATGTATTATTTTGTATAGGGGGACATCAAACAATTCATGGAAAAATAAAATTAAAGTATGAGTTTATTTTGGTACAAAAAAATTCTGAAGTCCATGCATAGCTTTTTCTCTTTTTTTTTAATAATTATTTTATTATTATTATTATTATTTTTTTAGTCCATTTTCCTATTTGACCAGAGAGGGAGAGAGCAAGAGAGCGTAAGAGAGAGAGAAAGTGTGAAAGCAAACCGCCAGGTCCAACATTCGAACCGCAGTTGGCCATGTGGGAGTCCAGCACCCCTAACCACCACACCACCTGCGGGCCCCCATGCATAGCTTTTTCACAATGTGTATTTTCCATGAACTTTTTTGAAGACACCTTATATTTGTATAAATTAATGTTGTTCCTATGACTTTTCTACAAGCTTAAAATTATTTCGAAATTTAAAAACATTAAAATGGGCGGAGAGGGACCAGCCAATGGCATAATGGTTACGTCACTGGACTGCCACGTAGTTGACGGCAGTTCAAGTCCCAGACCCGGTGACTTAAGAAAACTCACTCTGGATACCTGTGTGTGTGTGTGTGTGTGTG